AGAAAACTTAGTCAGGTATGGTGGTGCAAGTCTGTAGTCTCAGCTATTCAGGAGGCTGAATTTGAGGTTGCAGTGAGCTCTGATGATGCCACTGCACTCTAGCCAGGCAAAGAAAAGAAAGAAAAAAAAAGAAGAAGTTAATTTAGCAAAGATAGAATTTAGAATTTGAGCTCAATTCATTCTACTCCCAAATCCACATTCTTTCTGGTGACCTTCACTTGAACAGACAGTGAACTCTGCCAGGGTATCCACAGAGGCATCATCTGAGAAAGCGAGGCAGACAAAACCAAAGAAATTAAATCATGTATTTATCAAGAACCTGACATGTTCACAGCACCGTGATTGGCACCACAAGAGAAACTAAAGAAGATTATATATATATATATATATTCCACACTTGTGTGGACAAACAGCTATGTGCATAGTGCTCAGCCAGGCAGTCTGGGAAGAACAAATGTGAAAGTAACAGTCTCCGACTCAAATAAGAAGAAGAGACAAGTGGATGAGTAATTAAGTTTGATAGTTTGCTTTGGGGACCAGCTCTTAGAAATTCAGAAGAAATTCTAGGACAGCCCAGAGGAGGGAGCCCTTCAAGCCGGTGGGGGAGGGGTGAGGTTAATGCAGTTCCTGAGCAGGTGACAGCACTGGTCCTTAAAGATACTCACCCTTGAAAGGTTCTAATCTTCCAGGAGAGACATAAACAGGGACGAAGAACAATGGAAGATCCTATCTCATTAAGTTCCAGACTCTGTGAGACAGACAATGCTTGCCTTGGGAATTCGAAAATGAGAATAATCCGTCTGGCTTGGAATAGGAAGTAGATAAGACTCTGGCTCCAGAGGAGAGATGACAAAACGGCCCAGAAGGCCATAAAACTTAGATCCCTGGAAAGGAAAAAGGGGTGCTTATTTGTTGAGCACCTACTATGTCATGCAGCACACTAATCTAATCCTCATGGCAACTCTTTCTGGTCACTGAGACTCCAAGTAATTAAGCAACTTGATGAAGGTCACAGGAACCCAGGTCAGGGTGACTCTGAAACGTGTACTGCGAACCACCCTCAACCGTTCAAATCCTCCCCACTCATCAGGGCTCCACTGCTATGTTGCTCCCCTGACATCCAGTAGAATCTTATACCCTTCCTGGAAAAATACTTGGCTTTTAGTTGCTAACAAATGAAATAAATGTTGAAGAAGTATATCCTAAGAGTAAAGGATCAGAGTAAAAGTAAGTAGTTTTGAGGACAAAAATCCCCAGAAATATAATAGAGTGCCTGGGGAGTGGGGGTGGGGAAGGAAACTGACTGAATACAGGATGCCTAAGGGGGAATTGTTTGCCATACCCTCAAAACAGGGGGCTCTAGTATAGTTCAGATTTGGAAGTGACCTTAAGAATCTTCGATTCCTGTTTTTTCCACTTTACATAAGAATGAAATGAGGTATAAATTTCTCACAGAGCGCAGGAAATCACCTGCCCTCAGATGATTGTTCTTCCCCTACAAATGGTGAAAAGAGAGGGGACGCGGCCATCAAAAATCAAGTGATAAAGAAAAAAACGTTGTAACCTATGATATGTTATTATATGACATATTAAATAAATCAGGAGGCCGTGCACAGATCAATGATTAGGGTGAGTCGTAAGCCAAGTCATCTAATCTCATTCTCTCAGTTAAAAACAAGCAAATACATAATATTTGCACACATAATGAATAAGATGGCCTTCAAGACAGGCCTTCAAGAACATAAATGTATGTTCAAAGTGAAAGGCTTGGCCAAATGCTCCTGACACATTTAGGGACTGAGTTCAAGGAACTCAAGGAACTATGGGACATGACCCTCTTTGTCCTTTCCTTTTCCTGCCTGGCACAGCAGAGAAAATCACTTGGCCTCTTCAATCTTTTGTCTTAAAACTTAAGCAGCACTTTGTCCTTGATGACAACAGTAGAACATACATTATCTTTAGAGTTTACAAAGTATTATACCCCAGAGCCTTTGTTATCCTCAAAGTACATTTGAAAAGTAGATATTCCCATTGCAGAGGTCATAAAGTAGAATAGCAGAGAAGAGAAGTGAATTGACTCACACCAGGGCAGAGCACGGATATGTGTTGGAGGGAATAAGGAACCAGAACTAAAAGCCTCATGTTCCCACGCCTGGTCTGAGAATTGGTAAAATCCCAAATGCCTAGGCACATTCAGATCTCCTGTATAGAATGTTTCTCCCCTACGCCCTGCAGGATACATAGTTTACAAGTGTCTAATTGCCACAGTGAGGGACGTCAGTAGTCATGGTCCAACCTCTATTGGGGAGGGAGAGGGATTTTAAATGATATGATTTATGTCATTTAATATAACTCTCTTTTTATTGAAAGGCAACCCCATGACTTTTATAGATGATTTGAAGTCGCAGAAAGTCAAACATTTTCTTAGGGAAATTCTTTCTCCATAGCATCGTTCACCCTAGATTTGTTTCTTCCAGCCAGTCTCTGGAAGCACATTTAGGATATAGTGCCATTTTCATTCTATACCTAGAGAAACTGAGTTCAAACATTCTTGGCCTAAGACTACATGGCAAGTTCTTTCTAAAGCAGGAAGATCTGAATCCGGGATATCCTGTTTTCAGAATGGTGCCATAATCCTTGCATAGACTACGTTCCGGCTTTTATATAAAGGGGATGTCTGAGTCATTTGCTCATCCTACAATTCTTCAGACTTTCACCAACACATATTCTCTACTGGTTTTCTCTCTCTCTGGAGCATGTAGCAATGTTCTCAGCTCTCAGGAAGGATCTTGAGTAGTCCTGAAGACAGGAGTACATGAGGAAAAAAATCACAATTTAGTGGAGCTAATTTCATCTCAGGCTTCCATCATGCTATCCACACACAAACTTCACATAGCATGTTTTTGTCACTACCTTTTTTTTTAACAGATTGGTAACTAATAATTTGTAATCTACCAGCGCCGGCTAACGCATTTTGACTTATTAAAAAAAAGAAGAAGAAGAACTGTTTTGCCATAAGGGGGAGCTTTTGAGTTCCATAAAGAGGGGGAAAAAGAATTTTAAAAATATTACATATATATCCCAGTTCAAAAACAGATCTACAAAGCAGCAAATGATCAGATCCTTACCTGTGACTCAAACAGTGTCACAGGATCTGAGTTGCTTAGGTTGAAAACACTAGGCACAGGAATATTTTGCTGTCACTTTTTCATAAAAAATTAACATAATTTCTAACAACTAATAGAATATTTTTAAGAGTATTCGGGGAATTCAGAAACCCACTTGTGCTGCTGGTCTACAGCTTTTGAATGGCAAATGCTCTGGGGATGCCTCTCTTCTGTTTTCTTCTGATTCCATAAGGATGTTGAGAAACAACATTTGGGTTAGCTGAAGCGCAGCAGTGGGGACCCAGGGAAGAGGGGGAATGGCTCGTTATTGCATAACTTTAAGGAAATTCTGAGAGGGGAAAGGAGAAAGGAAAAAAGCCAGGGAAGGCAAGAGAGAAGGAAAAGGAGGAGCAAAAGAGGAAGAGAGAGAGAGGGAAAGTGAGGGAGGAGGAGAAGGGGAGAGAAGAGAGTGAGGGAGAGAAAGAGGAGAGTGAGAGAAACAGAAAGAGGGAGGGGAAAGGAAGGGAAAGAGAGGAGAGAGGGAGAGAGAAAGAGAAGGAGAGAAGAAAAGAGAAGAGAAAGAGAACATTTTTTTAAAATCTGAGAATCAAGTTTCAAGACTCTTCATGTGGTATAGAAAAGGATGAGGTTGACCAGCAAAGTGCAAAGGGTATCCTGAGGAAAAGAGAGAGATATTTCTCTCGCCAGGAGGAGGGAAAATAGAAGAGGGGTGGGAGGGAGGGGGGGCAAGGCAAGCAAAACAAAACAAAAACAGGAATGTGCGTTTTGAGCAGGAATGGGGAGAGCTGGGAGGACCATAAGGGGG